CGATGTTGCTAAATGCTAACAGTGTTCATTTCCACTCTAATTGTACCCAATGGAGAACAAGCAACAGAGCCCAAATAGGAAAGAATTCAGAATAAAAGGACACAGGGTATTCTCTAACTGTTGCAACAAAGACTAATTTTGTTGTTAAACCCCAAAAATAAGTAAAAGAGGATCTCATACATGCCATTTAAAACAGTCTAAAGCTAAAAAGCATCAAGTTCTTCAGAAGTCTAGAAGCATGCACTGGCGCATAATTCATGGTCACAAATGAGAACTACTGTAATAGCTAATCAAAATCTTGACAGGATGGGAAATCTCAAAAACGAACCAAAAGCCACTTGTTCACAAGTTCAGGTTCATGTATTAGCATTAGTATACACTATGTAGCTCCACATACATTATGACCACCACATTAGACAGAACCCTTCATCTATCAATCACTAGGCAGGGAACCCATTGGGCACAGTGTTTGGAATCTGCTAACATGGTCCAGAGCATCTCATGGACAATTAAGAAAGAATACATTATTACTAGTCACAGCTTGCCATACGCCACTGGAATTGTTCAGATTCAACCCCTTCCCACAGCCTGTATCCCAGACGTCCTACATTTTGCTCTCAGCATCTCTCAATATGTTTTGCTTTTAAAAACCTAAGGCGTAAGGGTTTCCAATGCATTACTATCATTCTGCATGCAGGTCAATGCTAAGAAAGAATCATTTGATTGGTGGTGGTTGTTGGGTTGAGTGTTAGTGTTGTGCTATTGCTGCAAAGAGCTAAAAACCAGTATTCCAGGCTGGAACGTAAAACTTCATCTGTCTTTTACACTGAGGAAGAGAAGTAGGGCTAGTATGAAAGTGGGCCCGTGACAGCTCAGGGTCCTTACCATGTGAAGCCAGCATTTAGAGGCAGCAATGAATTTGAGAATATGACTTATCAGTCATGATCCTTAGTAGAGGACTGACAGAGGTCTAGAGGGAGGGATGCATTGGGGAGGGAGAACTATGGGAAGATTCAGGTGCAATCTTCACTGTAGCATGTGAGCTGAAAGACACTGTGATACTATGACTTTGAACCCCCTTTTTAATGGTGGATGTGATCCAGAATTAAAAGGAAGAGAAGATGGAATCAGGGAGGGAACATGGTTTTTAATTGTCTGCATACTATATTGCAGTTCTTTTCAATGAGTGATGTAGGATATTCAAAGCTTACTTCACTATTGTACTTTTGTAAACTTCTTCCAGAACGTTACACAGAAGCATGGCAAATGACACAGGCTAACCAAGCAGGGAAATACAGAATGTAAGACTATACATATGTAAATCTTTAACACTTGTGTTTCAGGGTACCTTTGTGTCTCCTTAGTGTAATCTTTATCGAAGGGGATACGATGCGATAGGATTCTAATTTAATCAATGCACCATGATAAACAGCTCTTACTACCCAAAGCCTGCCTCTCAGGTTTGCCAGCAAAAGCCCCTCAAAAAGGGTGGCATCAAATCACTTTGCTGAGATGCCAACTGAGGAAGTGATGTTGGAACCTCTTGCGATGGGATCACAGAAAAGAAATGACAGCAAAAGTCTCAAAGGAGGATGGAATGACACCCTCTAAGTTTTTGCAACATCTCTTCCATGGTCCATCAGCTATGCAAAGAAAAGGCGTGTGTTGATCAAATGTCCAGTCTAATTAAAGAAAAGATGCCTGGGCAATGGGCAAAGACAAGGCAGTGTAAGGAACTGTTTGTTGCTCTGGCTCAAAATTTTACAGGGATATTTGTATTTTATTGTGTTTTATTAAAATATTTGTAACGTTGTGCTTTTTTTAAAATAAGTCAAACCCATTGACTATTGGGGAAGAGTAATGTAGAGAATGAAGCTTTGTAGTTAAATTGTTAGAAAAATACATATTTTAATACACTGCATTGTGCTTGACTCATTTTTAAAAATCAATACTGTTTAAAATAGATTCTTGCTCTCAAATAGCAATACAAAACTTTGTGATAGAAGAGTTTAGAACTATCAACTGTGCCAGGTCTTGTTATTCAGAACTAGAATGTATAAATCAAGGTTATATTTAAGAGTAATTCGATTAAGATTTCTGCAGAAATCTTGAGTAATTATTCATGTAGTTTCAGTGCCACAAATCTATTCATAAGGGAGGCTTTAACCTGGTCTCTTATTGACCATTTTAGTGTTCAGTCTGGTGATCACAGAACATAATAGCTTGGAATTATAAACAATTAATCAAATGTCTGGAAAACAAAACTCCAGATGTACAATCAGTTCTCTCATGCTTTTCCCCATCCCATTCATCATTTATATAAAGGAGAGACAGAACAGGTACATAAAGGGTATTATTAATGTGTCAATGTTTTCCACACACCAAATGCTTTCTACAAATGTACTGATGACACTTCTCCAGATCAAAGTTTTCTGTGTTGCTGTTGGGATTTACAGCATTGTTTTTTTACTGAGCATTAATTCAGTTAGAGCCATGTGTGACAGGCCTACATTAAAATAAAACAAAAAATAAACTGTATTAAGCTGTGGACATTATTACTGCACTGGCCAGATCCAATCCAAAGAAACAAACAACAGCCTCCTAAATGAAATACTTCTCACTTGGAATGTAGGATCTTATTCCACATACTTAATATAACCTACAGATAATGGATGGAGCCTTTTTATTATCTGACTCATATTACACAAGCTTATAGGGTCAGAGTGAAATCTTGGATTAGTCAGTGGCAAAATCCCCACTGTCTTGAAGAAGGTCAGAATTTTACCCTCAATCATTTTCTTTAGTTTAATAGCTGTTACCCTTTTTAAAATTTGGCCAAACAACAAATTTAGCAAATGAAAACAGAGCTTGAGCCTCCATGTCAGTATAATGTAACCACTCCGAAAATAAACATCTGTTTGTGATGTAACCCCTTAGGGAAATCCAGACTTTGAGTCCGTTAAAGAGAAGGGGTAGGTTAGGCCCCAAATGTAGGGTATTTTTGGGAGAGAGAACTGTTGAAGAATTTTAAAGAATTATTGTGAAACAAAAGAAACATTTAATAAAAGATTGTATCAGGGCATACTTTAAATTATAAATTCATTGTGGCTTTTGTGAATAAAAGTACCCCCTCCTCTGAAAATGCATTAGAACAGGAGAGTAAAATTGACTAGAAACAGATTACTCTCCTTTTACTGCCCTGAGTGAAACTCCAAAACCAAACAAATGTAAACAGACACACAGAATAAAGAAATTGAAGCCAAGATTTTCTAAAGCAACTACTGATCTTGGGTACCCAACTGGAGCTACTATAAGGGGGTATGATTATTAGAGGAGATGAGTTAAGCACTTCTTAAAAATCATAGCCCTTTAAATGATCTCAGATTAGGCAACTAAAATCACTCGCCACTTTTCAAAATCGTGTCTTAAATTTTTAGAAATCTGTTTTTCTGTTTCATCAATTTCAGATACAAAACTAAAGTTGATGTTATTTAGCTATTAATATTTCAGGTTATTAAAACTTGGAGCTTCAGCTATTGTTGGATTGTGAATGACAGGATTTTTACCTCTTAATTAAGAATTATTTTGTTAGCACTTCTTTAAAAAAAGCTTTAGGTTCTGAATTCTGATAGTATGAGAAACGAAGAACAGAGAGAGAAGGACTTATATATGCAGTGGAGACGACAGGGTTTTTTATTGGCTGTTGGTTTTTTTTTTGTGGTTGCTAAATATTTTTCACAGTGATACTGTCTTACTCCCAAAAGTAAATTAAGGATGAGAGCAGCTGTAAATGCATTTACAGCTGATGACAGGGAGCAAGTTTTAATTATGGACCATTCAGATGAAATTTAATTTACTCAATTTATTGCTGTCTCTGAAGTTTGTATAAGGTGCCCATAACTATAGCATATAAGTGCTGAATTTAGTGAATCACATAAATCTGAAAATACCATATTTGGTAAGGATCAACTGTTCTGCCTTTCTATAGTTCTGCTGTTGTACAGTCCATCAGCATATATAGAAAACACTGCTCTATCTGTACTGGGGATGTAACCAATTAACAAGGAAGCAGCTTACCAGGGGATGATTACCAGTAACTGGTTAACTAGCAGTGTGGCCAGGCTGGAGAAGCTCCCTATCCAATGTAGGCAGGGAGGAGAGAGGACTGCTCTAGTCCAGCCGGACCCACCATGCCATGCTGGGCTAGAGCAGCCCCCTGCCTTCAGGATCTCAGTTAAGCGGTTAACCAGTTAAATGTAATGTTTAACCAGTTAACTGATTGAGCAGGATTTTACATCCCTAGCTTGTAAACATGGGAGTCTAGTTCTTAGCAAGCAGAAAATTTAAGATTGATGGTGTGTGCAATTCCCTTGTGTACTGAAAGCAAGACAGATCTCATTACACAAAGCAGTCGTTAGGAAACCAAATTAATAAAGAACAACTATACCATCTAACAAGGAGCAACTGAAATGGTAAGACATTTTATATTAAAATGCATTAGTAATATAAGTGCAAAGACTCATATCATTCCAGCAGCAAAATACCACTCCTAATCATATCATGATTAGTAATTAATAAATCAGCAAGATATGCTTGAACAGGATTCCAACCCATTTAGAAAACTTCCCCATTTAAACCCCAGTTCAGCAAAGCAGTTAACCATACACTTAATTACATCATTTCCCTATACGCTTTGCGGAATTAGGGCCTTAGTCATTAAACCTAAAACTGCACGTGTAGGAAAACACTATCATCTCATGAGTTATGGCACTTGTTTGAACTTCTCTCCGCCTCTGTACAATGATATCTGAATTATTAAATGAGTTATAAACAAAAGTTAAAAGGCAGCCATAAGTGATGGCACTTAGTTCTGGAAGCTGCTTAGCAATGTCTAATAATCTGTTTTCATAAGAGACTCTTTGATATGGGGAAACCATAGCTTGAATGGAGCACTGAAATATACC